ATTGTTTTCATCGACTTGTCATTGAATTCTTGATAAAATTATGAATAAAAGGCATTTTCAACGACCTGCCACTGAGGTCCTCTATTTAAATCGTCCCTTGAGGCTTCCACGTTTTAGTTAACATCGTCTGAGTGATTCATGCTGGGCAATTATCCATTGTCATGTCGATCAGCATGTCCCCGCCTTTTCTGAGGTCGATCTTTCCTTTGGGTTTGCAATGGATATTGGCTCTTTGACCTCCATCCAGCTCAAAAGCTTTAAGCATGGTGAATTTTGCCTTTAACACTAGCTCAACCCCCCTCTAGGTTCGTTCAAACAAGCGACCACCCGTCTCAAAAGCCTTAATCATAGTGGACTTGCCTTGAACACTTGTTCAACCCCACTCTAGGGTCGTTCAAGCAAGTGACCACCCAACTCAAAGCCTTAATCATGGTGAATTTGCCTTGAATACTTGTTCAACCCCATTCTGGGGTCGTTCAAACATGTGACCACCCTGCTCGAAAGGCTTAATCGTAGTTGATTTTTCCTTCAACACTTTAATAAGAATCCATTTTTGTCATTTTTTAATAGACAATTTCTATCATATAGTAGTTTAAAGAAAGAAGATTCAAGAATGATAAAGTAAAGCAGAAGTAGATAATTGAGCAATGAATGCGAGTGAAGATCTTTTAAGAATGTTGACATGAAAAGATAAAATGTGGTTACTTTTAAATGGAGAGGCAACTTTTTATTTAAGTGAATTAGATATGGCGTGAGCTATACTTTTGGGCCAAACTTAACATGTGTTACTATTATAAGCATGGTCTAAAATAATTTTGTTTTTTCAAAAATTGGAGCAACAATTGCACTTGAGCTACTCTTATAAACATGGGTCAAAAAAGTATATATGTTTTCTTTAAGAATTTTGAATCAACTTGCGCTAGAGCCCACCCCAACCTTTGAGGAGGCTATGCACCTGATTCAGTATGCCCACACTGAAGTTCAAATCGTTAGTGCACATTTGTATCTAAATCATTATAAATATATTGGGAATTTTTGGATATGACGATTGGTATGCTTGTATACCCGTTCAAAATGAGTTTTTTATTAATCAGAGTTAATTTTGAAAAAGTTGATATGATTAGTTGTTAGTACGATTTTGATATTATATCAAAATAGTATTTAAAATAAAATAATTAAAGATGGTTTAATGTAAAAGTATTAGAGAGATGATATTAAGTGATGGTCACTTAAAATTATATAAGTTAGATGAAATTTGTGTATTATTTAATTATATTAATAATATTAAAAATAATAGAACTGAGTTAAATTTTGAATATGTATCTATATACTAACATCATCATCAATGCACATTTGAGTTTTTTTTGGAAGAGTTTGACTTTGCCTACACAACCATCCAAACTATCCAATAAACCCATAATTGAGTCTTAACCGTTAGATTGCATGTCCACGCACACATTTATATACGTGTGCCTCGAAACAACGGTTTGAAGGTAGGGTGAAATCCACCTAGATGCTAGATTGTTCCATCTCATCTCATCATCAAAATGTGGGAATCACATTTCTCACTATTATTTTTGCATTTGTTTGATCTCAAAGCATAATTTCATTAAATTTTAATTATTTCTGATACATTAAATGTTATTTTTAAATATTATTTCTAGTTGTTGGTATTGTTTTTTTTTTTTTTTTTTTTTTTTTTTTTTTAATTTTATTGTAGCCTCCAGTGGCGTAGTTAGAATTTTTTTTAACTTGGGACTACATATTATTGTAGTTATTATTGAAACCTTGTAGACATGGTCATGGGCCGACCCAGCATGTCGGTTCGGCCCAAACCGACACAAGCAGACCCGCTGACCATAGGTCTTGAACAAACCCGTGGTTTTGACCAGTTCGGTTCATGTACAATACTTTATAGTTTATACATTTTGAACATGCAGTTTTGGTTTCGAACTGGAACCGAAACCCGAGGTTCATTTTTTTTAAAAATATTATTCTAATTATTTTGTATTTTATTTAATGAACCGGACGACCAGTAATCAACAATTCAGTGAACCGACCGGTACATATGTTCGCGTCGGTTCAGGGTCCTCCAACTCTCGGCCCAATATCGACGGTTTCAGTCTGTAACTGGTTTGGTTTGATTATAAACAAATTATCTGCTAACATATGTCAGTTTGAATTGGAAAAATTCAGTCTCCAATCGCTTATATATTTAAACAAGCCAAACTCAAATTGCTAATCGAACTTGTCGATCAAATAAATAAAGTTGAACATGTTGGCAATCAACTTTGTACGAGTTTTCTCTTTGTGTAGGAAATGATGTCGAATTAATTATTGGAGGCGAAAGAAAAAAAATAAACGAAAATGGATAACGGACTGTGGAATGAGATGAATCCAATTAAATAGCCCGCTGGATAAGTTTGTGTCAAGCTTAATTATCCAACTCATTTGATATTTGTTAAGTCAACTCATTAAAAATTTGAAAGACTAGAGTGTGTTGAGCCACATTATAAACTCAATTAATAAAAATCTAATAAGGACACAATTGTCATTTGACAATAAAGGATTATCTTTTTTCCTCACTATAATCATCATTTTTTCACCATTGTTGTCAGATAACAAATTTTAACATGAAGATAATCTTGAGTCATTCAACCAAAAAATTAAATGGGGCTAGATAATAAATTACATGGGGCTAATGTGTATGTATATTTTTTTTTTTAGAAAATAGAATTAGCAAGAATAAGGGTAGCAAAAAATTGCATGGGGCTGGAGCCCACCCTAGCCCTAGGGTGGCTCCGCCCCTGGTAGCCCGTCACAGTATTCGTAGATTTAGACCGACTAATTCATTGGTCGATCCGAGTGGGTGAGTCTTTCAACAAATATTTTCTACAATCACAAAGACTCGAATTCGAAATATGTTCCAGCGACATCAAACTGCTTACCAAACTATGTTGATTGGTATTGCTTGTTGTCTGCATGGCTGGTGTGGGTTTATGGATATAGAATTGTACTATATTTTATTGGAAAATTCTTAAGTGCCGTTGTGCATTTTAGTGGAACCAATAAACACTTGCCACATCATTTTGGTTTGGTAGGTTTTTACCACATCTAAAGGTCTCTATCAATTTTACAAGATCTAATGGCTAATATTAAATTAACGGAATGGTGCTTGCACGGCACCGTAGCCAGCCCCTTATTTATTATTATATTTTTTTGTGTGTGTGATTGTGAGCGTGTGTGGGGTGTCTTATGAGGTGCATATCTAAGCAAGGATGGACTCGTGGGGCCTATTTAAAATTATTATTATTAAAGTAAAATAAAAACGCGGCATTCATTGTATCGACCGTTTGGCTGCCAATAAATATTTTAAATTTAGCAACTTTACGGACATCAATTTCTTGGATTCAATCAATTTCGCGTGCACACACAAATTTTGGTGTACAATTGTATTTTAAGGCTAAATATCATCTATTTGTTCATTGCAAAATAGAAAAAAAATGATGGCACAATATATGATTTAGGTGGCTCGTGTGTTATTATATTGCTCTTATTTAGCCATGGCCAGTCAACGGGCCGGGCCCTCCCATGTGTGACCCTTGATCGGCCCACCAAAAACCAAGAGCCGGGTCGAATCGGCCCTGTCCCGAGTCGTGACAAAAAAATAAATTAGACTCAAAAACGACCCATAAAACCATGGTGCCGGTTGTCGGCCGGCAACCTACAGGCCAGGCCGGGCCGGGACGACCCGTGGCCATGTCTAGCTCTTATTTACTTTGTTTTTGTTTATTGACGGGTGCTAGGGAAAGGAAAAACATTTAAGAAATATGATTTGAGATTTTGAGTTACATTTTATAATTTTCGAGGTTGAAAACTTTTTAAATCTTCAGATTAAATAGATATTCTTGAAAATTTTTAAAGTTCTGAGATAGAACTTAAATGTGAAATTTTGTTTATGGGTTTTATTTATGAAATCTCAATAAATATTTGAACTTGTAGCAAATTTCAGCGACAAATAAGTCAACCAAAAGAAACAAAAATAAATTACTAGGCCAAAAAAAAAAATTGCAACAATAATGTAGTCAATGGCACATGCCCCTAATGTGTTTAATGTTTATACATACATACATACATGTGAGTTTAACGGCGCATCATGGTCTTAAAAGTTAAAACACATTGTTGTAACGTACAGACAAAATCAAGTGAAACATGATTCTTGATGATTTTTATTCTCTTTCAAAGAAAAATAAAATCTCACAAAAGTACATTTTGGTACATATATATAAAGGAAAATGTTATAAGTACATAATAAATGTACACTCGAACATGGTTGCTAGCTAAGAGAATCGCTCGTATGAAAGGGTCGAGCAAGTCTACATTAAGAAATTCGAACTAGAAAAACTAACCCCTAATATTAAATGAATAGAAAAGGCAACTTTGGTTCTATTGTTTAAATATTTTATAAAGTTACTAGTTATATATATATATATTATTATGAACCAAACACAGCCTCGTCGTACTACCTTTTTTCTTAAAACAATAAAAGAACATCTGCAAGACTGCAACAACGAAAAAAAAAAAAACAAAATAAGTTATGATCCAGAAAGAAGGTAAACCGTAAATGTACAACATTTTGCAGCAAACAATACAACATAGATGCAGACCTCCCAATCATTTAAGCTATTCTCATACTAAAAAACACAAAATATTTCCCACGCAAACATGAATCGAGCAAATAGGTGCCAACACATACTAGAAAATATGACGTACGCTCAAACTCGGCAAATCCTAAGCAAGGTCTACACTATACAAGAAAGTTCTGGAAAATTGTAGAATTTGTGAGCGTATTAACTATGCTGCCATAAACATCATCAATCTCGTATCTTTAGTATATCCGTGTTCCAGCAAATAAAGCTACACATGGAGATTCCAAGTGTAGGCATTTTGTGTCGCCCCAAAACAAGCCGTGAATTAAGGCACATACAACAGTCGGTACTTTAGCACCTAACTTCATAGGAACCAGCTTTTGTGATGTAACGAACCCACTCCACTGTGTTGTATCCACTCTTTTCCCATACCTGCAGATTTTACTTGCTGGTTAGTGCAAATATACACCAATTGGTAAAAGATGAAGATGGATACATGAAGACTGCAAAATACCTTGAGGAAACGAACACGTAATCCAGATGCCGTAAACATGGGAACCTGCAGTAAATGTATTCAGTTTGTGAGGCAGGAAAAGCAAAATAAATAAATAAATTAATAAAATCTTACGTTCGTTTATTCATGAGTCAAACTCCTAAGAGCCCTATGGTGACAAAGTATTGTAAATTGTGTAGGATGTCAACATATCTAGTGACGATTTCTATTTATCTCACCCAATGTGGGATATCAGAAAGCCACACAAGTGCGCAAAATCCAACACCAAAAAAAAAA